TCTAAGGAGAACCGAACTGGGTAAGTGCTGGCCCTGGAACTTCTCACTGCCAGTGTTCCCACCAAGTTGAGTTAGTGTGAGCTAGCTCACAGTTTTTTAGCCTCCGGCTCACACGTTTTCTTCTCAGCTCAGGAAGGAGGGCTCCAGAGCAAACTCATTCATGCAGTAGTAGTTAGATCACTCGCTCACAACTTTAATGCCAGGAGCTCACAAAGTAGAATTTCTGCTCACAAGACTCCACATCTTAGAGGGAGCATTGCACTACTTGGACAAGCAAGGTACCCGTAGCAATACCAATTAATGCCTGGACCAGCATCCCTCACCTGTAGCGGGTGTTTGTGTTTTGTCTATGTGTGAGAGAAGGGAAAACAGCATCAAGAGAAGGACGTGTTGGGGAATCTCTGGTGTGGTACTGGCTGTCGGTTTCGGCCCATAGATATCTGCTTTTCTACCCGCGTCCCTTTTGCAGATTGTAATGATCATGAGCCTATTTGTTGACTTGGTGTATCGCCTGCAGAGGCAGCAGGCAATTGCACCTGAGTTGACCACGCCCAGCAGGAGCTCATTAGCATAATAGGCCACACCCATCTGTCACAGCAGCACATTTTTGTGCCCATGTTGATACGGATTATGAGGATGGCTGTCTTGTTGCACCTGGTAGGTTTAAGGCATCCTTCAGGAGGCAGAAATGAATACAAAACAGGTAGGACCTTACTCACTTTGATCCAAACAAGACCTCTGTTAGAATGATCATAGATGCTGCGAATGAAAGCAGAACGGTTTCTGACATCAGGGAGTGTATGAAAGCCTTCGAAATTGTGCGTTATTTTGGTACAGCGAGGGGAAGGAGTGACCACTCCAGATGTGGGGCAGGGATGGTGTCCTGCCCAAAGGTTTCCCAGCAAACAGGACCATCTCCACGGGCAGTTTGTGCTCCACCAACCGGCTTTGGAGGACTTTCGGATCCTAACAAACCACAGATCTAGGTGGCCTGAGCAGGCCGGGAAAAGGGTTTGCTTTTATCCATGGCGAGGCACACGGGAGGGGGAACAGAGACATAGAAGCTAGGGTCCCCCTCCCCACAATAGATACACATGTCCTGCACAGGAGTGAGGAAAATGCTTTGCTTGTGTTGCCCGTGAGGTGCACAGAGCACAGCAAGAGAGACAGGATCCTGCTCTTCAAAGGCCCGATGGGCTGTCTCATGGGGAAAGAGCAAAGATCTGTTCTCTGCTAAAGGCAAGAAAAGATCAAACAGGCTTAAGTGTTACAGAAGCACCAATGCCGGTTGAACATTGGGAGAAACTTCCTAACAGTGAGAGCACTTCCACAACTGGAACAAAATCAGGGGGCTATACTCTCCCACGCTGGAGATTTTCCAGCACAGGCGGGCCAGTCATCTGTTAGGGATGCTCCAGAGTCAGTTTGGTGTAGTGGTTAAGAGCGCGGACTCTAATCTGGGAGAACCAGGTTTGATTCCCCGCTCCTCCACATGCAGCTGCTAGTGTGACTTTGGGTCAGTCACAAGTTCTTTCAGAGCTGTTCTCTCAAGGGCAGCTCTTGAGAGAGCTCTCTCAGCCCCACCTACCTCACAGGGTGTCTGTTGTGGGGAGGGGAAGGGAAAATAGATTGTAAGCCGCTCTGAGACTCCGAGTGAAGGGCGGGGTATAAATCCAATCTCTTCTTCTTCTAGCACTGGACTTCCTGGACGGAGCCCCCAGCCCCTGCCAGCTCAAGGACAAGGGCGTAGACT